CCCCAGCAGGGCGGTTGTGGGTAGGGTGGGACTGGGACTGGGTGGCAGGGAGTGAGTGTGAGCACATAGGTGAGGGTGCAGAGCTCCAAGTACAGTTTCAGAGGGGGGCCTTTACCCCAGACCCTCACAGCACTGATCCCCTCAGCTGCTGCCTCAGGTCCATTTCCGAGGGTCCAGACACAGCCTTGTACCCATCACAAGCCTGCGCGTGACAAGTGCCAGTGCACGTCGGCTCCCAGCCTGGCCAACTGCCGTCCCCAGGAGCAGACGCCGGGCACCCTCCACAACTAAGTCTAGTTTGCTGCATCCCATATTTTGGTTTCCAAAATGTAAAAAGCCCATTTTCCTTTAACTTTTAATTTTGACATAATTTCAGAATCACAGAAAAAAACTGCAAGAAACAAACCCCATACCTGCTTCCTAACGACTCATTTCCCTGTGTCCGTCGAATTGGCTTACCTGTTCTTTCCTACCACCCCCCACCCCCCACAAACGCTCACCCATCCACTCTCACACTTGGGAGGCTGGCGGCCAGGGGAGACCCTCACGGTTAACCCCGCCCCTCTGCGCTGGCCTCAGTGCACCTGCACGCCCTCCCTCCTGCCTCCTGCCCCCAGCGTTCCCCACCCCCCTCCCCGCTCCTGCAGCCGGCTGTCTCCGGTCACAAGGCTCCTGCCCTCCCTGTGTGACCCTGTCCCCACGTCCGCCCTTCTCTCCCGAGGAAGGGACAGCTCCCCGCCCCCGCCCTGTAACCCGCAACCCAAGGGACACACTGGCGGTCCGGAGTCAGGACCTCGCCACACCCCCGTGGGGACACGGCAGCCATAGCCCCCGGCCTCTCTCCGCCACCGCCGGGCACCGGCCCCACGCGCCCTGCTCTTCCAGGCACCTTTGTGACGAGGGCCGAGGCTACCGACGCGGACGACCCGGACACGGACAACGCGGCGCTGCGCTACTCCATCCTGGCGCAGGACGGGCCTGGCTTCTTCCGCATCGACGAGCGCACGGGCGAGGTCCGCACCGTGCAGGTGGGGCTGGACCGCGAGGTGAGCCACGCCCGGGGCGCGGTCTTGGCGGGGCGGGACGGGGAAAGCCCTCCAGCACCCCAGCACTCACCCCCAAACCAGGCCCCCAGGCAGCAGGGAGAGGGCTGCCTCCCTTCACCACCCCTCCTCCACCCTTTTCACCTCCGGATTAGCCAACTGGGTCGCCTCCTACCTCCCCCAGCACGTTCCAGCACCTGCTGGGCCACCAGACCCTCAGCCTGCCTCCCCCACCCCCACCCCCGCCTCCCTGTGTGAGCACCTCTGCAGCCCCCTGGCTTCCCCCTGGCTGGCTATGTGTTGAGCTCTGGGGGCAGGACCCCAGGTCGGTGGACTCCTAGCCACCCTATAGAGCGGGATAGAACTACCCCCTGGTAGTTTCCCAGACTGTAGCTGGTTATGAGAGCAAAAAGCCCTTTCTCCCAAGGAGCAACTTGTGGATTTGAACTGTCCCCCCTGTGGACCACAGCTCAGCCCATGACCACCAGGCCTCACCAGAGCTCCGTCGATGCTTACTCTGCATGCAGCTGAAGCTGCCTGTACACAGTGCCAGCTCGTGGCTAGCCAGCTATCATTGTCCCCAAGAGGCCCCTGGGCCCTAGGTGCCGTCACACATATCAGGCATAAGTGTGGGCGAGTCGCCCTCATCTTGGGTGGGCTAGGCAACCCAAGCCTTGGTGGGACATCTCCTACCCAGCGGCTTCACCCACAGGTGGCTGCCGTGTACAATCTGAGCCTGCAGGTGGCAGACATGTCTGGAGACGGGCTCACGGCCACCGCCTCTGCCATCATCACTTTGGAGGACATCAATGACAACGCCCCAGAGTTCACCAGGGACCAGGTGCCACTGTGCCCCAGCGGAGGCAGGAGGAGGGCTCACAGGCTGGGGTGCTGGGGTGGGCATAGAGCCCTTAGAGCCTTTGGACATGGGGGTGAAGGCAGATGTCCCCAGGCTTTCAGTGCACAATCAGATGGAGAGACACGGGCCCCCAGGGGCCGCCGGGGGTGGGGGGTGGGGGGGTGATTAACTCCCCAAAGGGACAAATAGGACCTGGATGTTCCCTGGGGACTTTGGGGAGGGAGCAGCAGTTAGATGGGAGAACAGAGCAGGGGAGACCCAGGGGAGAAGGGGTTCTGAATCCCAGGGCCTCAGGGGAGCCCCACCCACAGCTGCCTGCCCAGCCAGCCCTGGCCAGTAACCAACCTTGGCCTCCCCAGTTCTTCCTGGAGGCCGCCGAGGCAGTTAGCGGAGTGGACGTGGGCCGGCTAGAGGTTCAGGACAGGGACCTGCCTGGCTCCCCCAACTGGGTGGCCAAGTTCACCATCGTGGAGGGGGACTCCGAGGGGCAGTTCACTGTGCGAACGGACCCCAAGACCAATGAGGGTATCCTGTCTGTGGTGAAGGTGAGTAGCTCCCCCCAATGCCCCCAGACCCCAGCTCTCGGCCACAGCACTCAGGCCCACCCTTACCCCAGCCCCCCCCAGGGTGCGGCCTGGGCACATGGGTGACTGTCATCCACAGGTCGAGTCTGTGGATTACAGGGTACCTTCTACGTGTGCTCAGCTGGGTGCCACTGCCCGGACACTCTACGTTGTACAATCTCTGCAGTTTCTGTGGTTGGGGTGGGGGTGGGGGTGAAGAAGGGAAGCTACCAGTGAGGAGCGAGGAGCGACCAATGAGGGAGCTTCCTGACACAGCCACTGTGGCTGCTCGCCCCCCCTCCCCCCATCCCCCCATGGTCACCTTGGCACCAGGTTCTGAGCCCCGTGCTGAGTGACCACCCCTCTGCTCGGTCTCACAGCCCCTGGACCACGAGAGCCGTGAAAACTACCAGCTCCTGGTGTCGGTGCAGAATGAGGCCCCACTGCAGGCGGCGGCGCTCAGGCCGGAGCGGGGCCGGGCCACGGTCAGTGTGCACGTTCAGGACGTCAACGAGGCCCCCACCTTCTGGGAGAGCCCACTCCGGACCAGCCTGGCAGAGGGTGCAGCCCCGGGGACCCCTGTGGCCACTTTTTCTGCCCGTGACCCTGACACCCAGCAGCCACAGAGACTCAGGTGGGGGCACAGTGGTCCCTGGGTACAGTGGAGGGGGCCACTAGCTGCAACGCCTCAACCCCCACGCCCAGAGCCCCCAGAGTGCCAAGCATGTGCGGAATTGACAGTCTGAAAGGCTATCCTGTGGACGTGTGTCGACGTGAGTGTGTTGGGGTGTGTGTTAGGGTGTGTGTAGCTGGGTGTATGTACTGGGGGTATGTGTGTTGAGGTGAATGTACAGTGAACCCTCGTTTATCGCGGTTAATCGGTTCTAGACCCTACCGTGATAAATGAAATTCCGTGAAGTAGGATTGCTTATTTGTAAATCAAATATTTTCGTAGTTAGAGCATAGAGGACATGAAAAAACACCCTTTAGTCACCAT